CTCCGGGGAGCCGGCCCGGCAAGTGGCAGCCAGGGGCCAGTGGTAGGCATGGCCCGCACTACAGCCCCACATGGCCGTCAGGTTGCCGTGGGCCCCTTCGGAGAGCAGGTGCTTGAGGTTGGGGATGAGGCTGCAGATGGTCCCGTGGCTGTGGGCCCAGCTCACCAGCTTGGAGAGGTTTTCAGAGGAGGTGTGAAGGCAGTCCTCCATGGTACAGGATCAACAGCGACTTGCCGCTGGGAAGTCAGCTGAAGACGCAGTTCAGATCACAGGGTCCTGGCAGTCATGGTCATGTGTTGCCAAGCTCATCCTTGCTGCTCACCTGCAAACAGAGAGCAAAACCCCGCTCTTCAGCACTCCCAAAGCAAGACCACATTTGCATGGGCAAGTGAAGCATTCATAAGCTCAGCTAAACCCATTTCACTCTCATCGCATGCTCTCCAAAGCACATTCCTCAAAACAGCACCTGCTTTTAAGCAGCCTCATTCCTCATTCTGCCTGCAAAAAAACCTGCCTTTAAACCTAAGGGAAGGAATATCCCTGCAATACACAACTAAAATAAGATAAAATGGCTTTTTAAACAAGCCAGTTCAGTATCAATGTCAATATGATTTGAAGCTTAAGTCTCTGACAAAATGCAAATGCAGCCCAAAAGATGGTGATTGTGTCCTCATACTTAGGAAAGGAAAATTAAATAAAATCTTAAAACATACAATTCATCTTGAACATCAGGGTGGCAATCAAGCACCAACTCAGACACTCCCTCTGTACCTGATGAAACTTTATGACTTTTTACATCATTTATGCTCATTTCTCAAATGTATCAAATATCTCCTTTTCAACTGAATTTGAGAGGCATCAAAATGTAGGCCAGATAGTTTAGTTTTCAACATAAGGAAAAAAAAAAACCACAACAAATTCACCCTTCACTGTACTATACTGACAGTCATCAGTTTTCCAAAGGCTTAAGAGAAGCTTAAGGGACCTGCAAGGTTTAAGTCGTAACCTTCCTTAAGGTCTGAGAGTTAACCTTTTGCTTTTTTACCTTATTGTCTATTTTCCCAGATCTAAATCATGATTCTGGTCAAAACAAACACTTGCCATTTGCATCAGAACTATTTAGAAATTTGCAGCACAAGGCATGGACCTTTGGGGCCAAGGCCATGAATCCTGCAATATTGCAGGTCAAACATAAAAGCACAAAACCTGTTGCATGTTCATCTTTTCCTGCCAGAAACTGCTTCCTGCCCATATGGCACAGACACTTGCCAGGCAAGGTCTCATCCCACACAAGACTGCAAGCCCTCAACTTCTCAGGACTTCAGCACTAGGACTTTCTAGGAGACCGTGCAGTTGTTTCTCTGATCTGCATTTCTTTTATCACCATAAAAAAGACAATGAAACAGGATGCAGATGATGTTTCATTCATTTAAGTGACTAGAAAAGAAGGAAAAAATAAAGTAAATTTAAAGGTTAACCATTCTTTCAGTAAACAAAGAAGAGCAAGGAATTGTAAAATAACTCAGCTAAAAATACCGAAATTGTTTACAGGTAACTTCTTGGACTGTAGCTTTCTTTTCCCTGAGTGGTTTACCAGGGTATCTGGTATCAAAATTCAACAGTCTGAGTAGTGAGCTTCTGATGGTATACAAGCATGGCTATAAGGTATGTCTGGAATTAATGGCGCGGGGCTTGGTCCCTGCTTGACGAACATCAGGGCACTGCTGGGGCTGGGGGCCAGGCAGCTGGCAGAGCCCCAGCCCCAAGCATTGGGCACCGGACTGACGGGCACGGCGGGGGCTGGGGGCCAGGCAGCGGGCAGAGCCCCAGCCCCAAGCATTGGGCACCGGACTGACAGACCCAGGCTGAGCTGAAATGGGGCTCCCAGGCCATGGCCAGGGGGTGGGTGGGGGTCACAGGGCAGGCTGGGCAGAGCTCTTGAGGCCCATGGGTGCTCTCAGGGCCCTGACAAAAAAAATTAAGGTTACAGTGGGAACGCTCAGTTTGTATATGTCTGTTGGCCTCTCGTATCTGCTCTAAATCATCCATTTAAAACATCAGCTGTAGGAGGTTGTTCACAGGAACATTTGCTGTTAATAATTACTTTTTAAATTTTATTTTGCTTATAATGTTCTGTATTCCACACACTTCCAGATTTAAGCTGCAGTCAGTGCCCATTTTCCTGTTATCCTGGCATTTTAATACTTAACTACTGCAATAACAATTTTTTTTTTATTTTTTTTTTTTTTTTACCACAAGTAAATGAGATATAGCTAGTCAAATGTCTGCACAATCCTAGAGCAATGATCACATTGAGAAAGACAGCACAACCAGTTTTCACACAGATCCCACTACTGGGATACTGGGGACCCCTAAGTAGTCTGTTTCTGAAGTGGGAAATTATTACCCTCCAGAACCATGGCCAAAATAGATCAAAGTCAACTGTGAAGCTCTAGCTGACTTCAACAGGTCCAGGTAACTGGGACTCCAGAGGTCTGTGAGAAAGTCAGCACTTCACAGATGGACCCCAACACACAGCCCTCAGCCAGGGTCCTCACTATTATTAATACAGAACTGGACAGTCTCTCTTTCTTTATACTACTGTCTCACTTTTAAAAATGAAGGTTATTCGAGTTGCTGGAGAAGATCAGTAATGAAAGAGCTCAAACAACTCAAAATTTCATGGTTGCTGGGCACAGGCTAGGCTGAGAACGTTTTGAGGTTACTGCTCAGCTGAATTAATAGAGATTAAATATACGTTTATATTCCTCTAATGATAACCATGTTTCCTATCTCGCCAGCTGTTACCTGCTAAAGGTCACTTTTTCAAACAAGGGATCACATCCCAATACAATTTCAATTTGGTAAATATATTTTTTAAATTATTAATCACCTAAGTGGAACTTTTTTCATTAAAGTAATGCAGGGATACCAAAGAAACTGCAGCATTGTCAGATGATAGCAAAGTCTGAGCGTCTCTCTTTGTATACACCTGATGACAGAGCATTCACCCCTGGTGACTTTCTCAGACAGGTAAAAGTAACTGGGAACTTCTGCTCATTTCTGCAGGCTATTTGGAGGCTTTCCCTAACCTTCTCCCTCCTGTGCCTTGTAAACATGACCTGCAAGACTTGGACCTCCCGTTGTTCTCATCTCACTTTTATCTTCATATACGCAGAAAAGCCCTTTACATTTTTCCAAACTGAAATGCAGCATTCACGCCAATGTTACACCTCATTTTGTTCCCTGTCCTCTTCTACACAAGCATTTTTAGATGTAAAATGAACCGCGTCATGGCTCAAAAGGACAGCTACACTGTGGCTAACTGCCCCTAGAGCATGCTTTCCCTAAAATCAACACAAATTACTACCTGCCTACTCACTTGCTCTTCAAAGTTGCCTGCCAGCTAGCTGCAGATAACCGTGTTTGCTCTGTGCCAAGGGAGGTGAGGAGGCTGTGTTTCAACGGTTTTGCAGCCTGTGTGTCCCTGCCCACCCACTCTCATTCACCAGGGAAAGGGTGGCCTGTGCAAACCAAAACCTGAAACAGAATGGACGAGTACTCCCTGCGATTCCCCCCACGAGGCTCACCATGGGTCTTTCCTCCCCACTCAGGCGCTGTGCCTCACTCGTTGGGTTAAGAACGGAGCCAGCATGTGAATTTCTAGATATTTTACAAACTTCTAGGTATTTTCCCAACATCTTTGAAACTAAGCACACATGGAGGGAAGTTCTGGATAATGGATGAACAGGAAGTAGCACATCATTAGGAAACAGTAAAAATGGTGCAAGATTCAAGCTTGTTTTTGCAGTAGCTCAAGCAGCCACAGTGCATGCACAGAGAACAACTGCTACAATAAATTCCAGCTTCTATTATTGCCCACATGAAACCCCAGCAATAGTACAGATCTCACAGCATCACCTGCAACACAAAGCTCCTTGCATGACCGGTGCCTGTGTGCAGTGTAATAAATGCAGTAGGTCCCCACCTGGCGAGCCGTTTAGGCACTGGAGAAGGCTTCCCTTCTCAAACATACAGCTTTTAAACATCTAGAAGTTGTTTGTTGTATTTGGTTGGTTGTTTTAAACCTTTTAAAGATACACTGTCACACTGGTCAAAAGCCCCAGGGCATCTGCATTTCTGCTGAATGGTGTATTCAAAGATATGGACATACACTGCAACCTGCCACAGAAGAAACACTGAAAGATGGGAGGAGTAACACCATAGTCACACAAGGCAAAGTGGACAGTCTAGAGAGTGAACAGAGGAAAGGAGGGAGAGCTACAGTCAGGGATGTAGGCTACATCAGTGCAAACCCATGGGAAAGCATGGACCTGCGCAGTTGCTGCATGAGCAGGGATGTATCTTGGGAAGACAGAAAGCCCAGTTTGGCTGAAGAACCATTTTCTGCACAGGGAAATGAGGTCAGCTCAACTGCCATGTTCTGGATTGCTTGTGCAGGTCTGAAAATCCAAAGACATCAGTTAGGCAGAAGCAATGTGTCTTCGGTTTGCCAACTGCAGCAGAGGTTGACAATGGCACTTTGGCAGGGAGGGATTCACCCTGTAGAGAGCACAACAAATCCATCATCATCTGCCTGGTTTCCTGAAGAGGGACCTTGTCTGCTCAGTCAGACAGCATGCTGCTGGCTGGCAGTCTGCTCTTGTTTGCTAAATCACATTTTAAAGATTATATAAGTCATCCATTCAGACTGGCAAGATTCGATAAGATGACTCATGCTTAATAACCTGCTAACATGTATACTCTGAAATCATACAGTAGCTGGCAAAAACATGCTGTAGCTTCAGTGTGAATAACACTGGTATTTTAACTGCATTACAGATGGTGAAGCAACCTTCCACAGCACTCTTCTGCAGTTCAGAGCCTAGCGATATCTAATTTGGAGTGAAGCATGTCTAGGTGCTGGAAATTCACTACAGCTATCTGGACCCTAAATTAAGAATTCAATGTTATGGCTTGTTTAGCTTTTACGACCTCATTTACAACATGTCGCTGTAGCGACCAATGTGTACAGAACATGTGCTATGCCAGAAAGCGTATTGTTGCAAAACCATTCCTTGAGATCCATTAATGCATTAACTGCAACATCACTTGATTTGGGAAAGGGAATATTTTCTGTATCCAGAGCCAGGGTTTTGGTCACTTGGTGACCAAAGAGTAATGAAAAATAGCAATCTCTGAAGAGCATCCTTCTTCCATGTTCTAGGATGGAACTTGGCTTAGCTAGTTACATGCAGACAAAATTCTTCCTGACTTTACACACAGCAGTAGAAACAGGTCCTTTGTTACGATCCAGAGAAGAAGCACTGACACCAGGCAAGTCCCAGGAGCAACAGCAGTCGGTCGCTGTGGCCACGTTGAACCCTTTCCTTTATCCCATGCAGAGAATGAACAAACACCGGTGGGGAGCAAAGACCCACTACCTCAACTACCTCTCCTCCTTTCCCTCCCTGCGCATGAGAGTGTTACAGTGGAGTTTTGGTTAGGACCTCGGGGAGGTTCTTCAGGACAAATGGGGAAATCTGTGATGTGGCTTCTCTGGAAAGGAGGCAGCAGAGGTGAGGCAGGATGCAGTGAAGGAGCTGAATGCAAAAAAATGGGATGAAGCAGAGGTGTGCAGTGGGAAGTGTGTGTCCTCCAGCAGTGTCTGCACACTGGAACGTGCGCTTGGTGGACCTACAGCTTGGGAAGAGTGACAGGTGCATTTTGTTGTAAAGAAGGCGAGAAACCTTGTTGGGATCCTGTCCTCTCACAGACTCACAGGCAGTTAGCAATGGATTTCCTTCCCAGGGTAACGTTAGACAAGTCGACACAGACTAACTTGCATCACATAAATGTATGTTTGAAATTCTATTACAACTACTGATTATTAGCATTTCAGGAACTTCCACGCTGATTTTTTTTCAAGGGAACAGTGTAGCCATGGCTACATTAACCTGCTCTTGGGACATGATCCCAAGGCTGCTACTACTGAGAATTTTCTAAAAGCCCGAGATTCTCAAGTAAGACTACAATGCAAAAACTACTTTTGTTAATAATAAAAGGTAGTCTTTCTAATCTCACAGCTTTATAAAAACTCTAAAACATGAATCCTAAAACATTAAGACAGGTGTAAAAAACCCTGCATTTACTCATTTTAAATAACATGGATTTCAAACCAATCTTACAACAGCTGAAACCTGACTTTTAAGTGTATTTATGGACAAGCAATGTTTTATCAGCTTCTACATTCAGAGGTCCCAAACCCTTGTGTGTTGGGCTTTGCTTTCTCATACTAGCAAAAGAAGCTCAGAATGTTTTAAGTCCTCTTTGTTTTCAGCCTCTCTGCCCTGGCCAGACTTACTGGGCTGTTATTCCATCACCATCTGAGGGCGAAGCACTGCTTCATTTTGAATGATCTTTGTTTTCATACTTAGAAGTAAGGAAACACAATTGCTAGCTGACAGATTGAGCACATTGTGAATTAAAGGTTTGGCCACCATGGTGTAAGTACCAATCTCATTCAAGATTTTAGCCAATGGAAAATATTAGGGCTTCTTTTATTATTAGCATTTCTTAAGCCAAATGGTTAACATTGCTAAAGGACTGAAGTCAACAACAGCAGAAATCCAAGTGTCCATTCATCAGAGAAGGCAGAGCGGTAC